AGAGTATTCTAAGCCTGGCGTAAACTGTCGCATAATTTGCTGGGAGTTGATTATAGCCGGGAGAAGAGAATACGAAGTTTCAAAGAACTCTCTGCAAGCGGTTAGTATGTACGCACAGAAAAAAACAACTGTCAATGACTGAGTCAGCCATTCACCTCCGGAACCGTGCTCGCCACTACTGAACTTCCCTGATTGAACGGCAAGCGATGAGTTCAACGGCTATGATGATATCCTCGTTACTTATGCTTATATAAGTCCGTAATAGGTATTTCAAACCTTGAGCCTTAAGAAATTGACCGACCACAGTCGAATATAAAGAGAATAATTAACTGCGATTGGTCAGTTTCTTAGGGCTTAAAGCTTAAAATACCTATTGTGGGCCGACACTAATGCACATCCTTGGTGCATTATGGTGCTGGAAGTAAAATTTCGCTCTCACGAAGCGAACGATTACATGTCATAGTAGCGTGCGGGAACCTTCGAGGAAGCTTCCGATTGATGAACACACAGTGCAAAGCGGTAAGCAAACGTCCAGAAAGCAATCTTCCAGATTGGTTTGAACGCTCCAATGGGCCGTGATCAGCTTCCTCGCGACTTACTGGAAATTTCTCCGATCGCTCGCTTTCCGACTGGATGCCCGTTGGCCGTTACAACGACGCTCGGACGTCTAATCTGGCCTCACCTTGTAATCGCACGTCGCTCTCACGATGATCAAGTCGCTGACCCGGCCGTGATTGCCGGTAAAAAGCAAACGGAGAGACGAGCGGGAGGGAAAGCGTCGTCGTCGTCCTCGTCGTCGCAGGATTCGAGAAAAAAGGACGACAGCGTGTCGCCGCGCTGTCCGCGCGCAAGAAGAGACGGAAGAAACGACGGACGAGGAGATCCGCGCGTCGGAGGGTGTACACCCGCGCGTTATGGCGAAAGGACGGAAGCCGGCGGTATATATAGAGTGGGCTCACCCGGCTACGACATGGCCACCCCCTTTATCAAAGGCCCTGGCACTTTGCCACGTCGCACCGCATAATGAAGCAGCGCGTTGGCCTTCGGTTATACTGGCGCCAGGGCCCGTGTTTTGCCTCCCGGAGAATAGTTTATTGTGCCGCGCGCGCGGCGGCCTTCCACTGTCTCCTTCCACGCCGGTAGTTCTCCGCTCGGCTTGTCATGTACGATATTCGTATTGGTATTAAGGCGGTTAATGCTCTCGCGGCGAACCCTCCTTTGGCGCGATTACGCGGACCGAGTGTGTAGACGAGCCGATCCGCGCGTTATCAAACCAGCCAGATACACAATGACAGTATGGTGTAATGTGTGTGTTTGATAAATCGTGATTACTTCTTGCCCTCCCCCTCCTCTCTCTCTCTCTCTCTCTCTTTCTCTTTTCCTCTCTTTCTTTCTCTGAACGACTGATTCTTATGAGGAAATTTTTCTGTTTGTCGCGCGGTCATTGCACTTCTTTTCAGCGATAAATCGATCGACGAGACACGATTCTTCGTTGGAGATTATTTGAAAGGCGATCGCATCTGTCGCTGATATCCGGTTATTAACGTATTCTAGTTGGGTTAAAAATTAAAGCTCCGCCGAGATGCGCTCAAGGAATAGCCGATGCAGCGAATTTTGTTATGTATTTAGACCCCCGAAGCTCAACTTGCTGAAAGCTTTCAACTTTCCGTCGTTTTCTAACTCTCGAAAGAGTCATTAACGCCGTGAGACTGAGAGCTATCGTCGTTTATTTTAATTTGTCGCCGGTAGCATTTTGCCTCGCTTTTTCGCGATCAAAAAGCAAATACGGCGCCCGGTCTTGAAAATAGTTAACAATTAATTAATTGAGGCGTTCGTAATCGAAATGTAACGGGACGCGCTCATGAAAATATTTTGCGCACTATATGATGCGAGGCGTTTCATGAAATATAACTCCGCATGATGCGCGATATCTATTGGTTCGGATTGGCTGGAGTGACGTTTGCAAACTAATGTGGAAACGTCGAGACTTTCGCGAACAAAGACGGACATTAACGTCCGTTTATCCGCTAATCCGTCGAGACAACGACAACGTAGCGTCATGGATTTGTTAAGCTACAGTTATATCCGCTTTGTATTCGAGAACGCGGTTATCGGAGGAACTGTAGACGGCATAACGAGAAGGTTATTATCCATGCTGCTTAATTTATGCAAGTAATAAACTCATGACGCCATTATTGGCTCTGTGACTGTGCAAGCGCGGTGAATGCACGCGAGTATTCATAATCGACGAGTCCCGAAATTTCGATGGCTACTATTCCATGCGAGTGACGTCACGTCACGAAGAATTAACGCGAGCCGTTATTTATGACGCGGTACAAACGCAGAGCGGTGAAAAATTCACACAACGCGATCGAATGTTGACTAGCGTCACCGGCTAATTAATTCAAATTCACAATTACCGCTCGTGTTTGCACGGAAATAATTGAAACACGGTGAATTTTTCATCAAGCGAATAGAAAGACATATCCATTATGTCGAGCGTTGATTCGTTGCTCTCGATTTTTCTATATCTGATTTCCAAGAGGAGTCCAATGCTTTTTAAAGCACAAAAACGTCTTGATTGCACGTATGCGGGAAATTATGCGGAAGAAAAAACGGGACGAAGAGTGAATGTGCGCGCATTCAAGAAAGATGAAAACAAAAGGGCGATTAACGAATCCGAAAGTTCCGCGTCCGGGTCGAGCGATTCAACTGGAGCAGCTTCTCGCTAACGTATCCGGACAAATTTCGACAACGCGAGCTGCTGGAGAGGAATCGTGAAGACGCCGTTCCGCAGCATCGCAGCGCTGCCGTTTACCTCGACGACCTAAATTATGAACGTTGGCCTCGACTACCGCGCTCTCGCGCCCGCGAACGTTCCTTCCTTGCGCCGTAATGCGAATTTAACCGGAACTTTGCAGACGACCTAATTAAAGCGCGAAAGATCTAAAGCACCACTCGGCGCTTGTTTTCAGTATTCAGACGGAGATTTACCGGGCACCGGGCAAACAGCGTACGCGTGTCCATTTACCTGATATGAAACGAATCTGTCTTATGACCCCACTAATCGTCGCGACATTGTCGAGATGTACAAAGTGCGACGAAATAGCGGCGACGAACATTTTTCGTGGTAAAAATTAATGAAAAAGTGATAAACTGACAATTATCAATAATGATATACACCTTAAATGACTTAATATTTAAAGAAATTCGAAGTGGCCGTTTTTTATTAGGGATGTGCATGATTTTTATACGTTTCTTTTGAGGTCTTGAAAAAGCTACGTGGAATGTTTTCGCGCTCTTTTGCAGTTTTGAAGTATTAACATTAATGTATTCCAAACGTCATCTGACATGAGGCAACGATAAATATAATTCCCAGAGAAAGCAGAAAACAAGTTGGCCGACGATAAGCTGCATATACGATACTGTATTTGTTAGGAATTTCAACAAGGAAAAAACGCTGCTAAAGCGTGCGAATCGATTTGTTCTGTCCTTGGAAAAGGAGTCTTATCCCATAATATTCATAAATATTGATTTAGACATTTTAAAGATGGCAATTATGACATTAATGACCGAGCTCACACTGGATGGACCGCGCAAATTGAAAACCGAACAATTGTAAGCATTGTTAAATAAAAACTCGATACAAATGTAAAAGAAACTTGCAGTGCAATTAGGAGTTGATTAAGCAACAATTTCCAGACGATTGCACGAGATGAGTACGGCGGCCATTCTGCATTAGTAACAAAGAAGAAAGTGAAGCTTACATCATTTTTGTGTCGTTTTCGCTTTGTGAGTCGGAACAAAATCTTGTTGAAACGTTCATTTCTGGTTTCCAAAATGCTATTAAATGAGAAAGTATTACGCTTTGCAAAATGTCGCGTCGATATGCCTTGATTGACTTTGATCCCTTGTTTTGCAAAACAAGGGGTGTTTTTGCTAGTAGCAAAAACTCTATCTCACACTATGATGGATGGTGGATTGTTATGATGATTGTTATGTTTGTTATGATGATATAGCGTATGGTTGATTTTCGCGGCTGGAGCTTGTGCTAAGCCCGACAAAAGTTTTGAATCATGAAGCAATCCTTGTGCCTGAAATAGAACAAAATATCGGTGAAAGAAAATTTTGACGCGTTGAAATTTCATCAAGCGTTTAAAGGTGTATATAAAAATAAAAGGCGGTCACTTCAAATTACACTGGGAGAAAATTATAATTATTTTCAGCGCCAAGCATATTTGATAGTAATAACAATTTTTGTACCGTAACCATTGTATTATAACAATTGTACTTTAAACATGTTGTTACTTCAGGTATGTATTCTTATTGTTAATTGTTATCATTTTTTTCGCTAATAAAATTTTACTATGAAAAAACGAATGTTTGTCGGCATTATTTTATCGCAGCTGATATTGCCATAATTTCCACAGCTGGCATACAAACGTAAACCGTGCGGTGCAATACGTAGCGTATTGGCAAAGATGTTACGTTCGCGTAACGGGTTACACAATATCTTCTGGTTGGGGATACTCCGAGGTATCAGATCATTGCTTCAGATGAAGCAATCGGCAACGATAGCGCCGAAAGAATCTCGAGTGTTAAACAACATCTTCTGGTTGGGGATACCCCGAGGTATCAGATCATTGCTTCGGACGAAGCAATCGGCAGCGATAACGCTGGAAAACAGTTCTAATGTATCGCAAAAAAAACCCAATTGACTCATTTTTTATGGCGTAAGATGCACCTTGCCCCTGATTGGGTAATGAGGAACCTGCGCGGGGGTGTCTCATTATCTACCTATAAAAGGTGATGCGAGAAGCGAAGTAAAGGTTTAGTTTTAGTTTAGTTTAGTTTTGTTCCCTCGCGACTCTCTTTCGACTTCTACGTCAAGTACGACTTAACTCAGAACAACTCCTCAAATGTAAATATATTTAATTCTTGCAACTTAATTCTTTTTATCTATTAACTTCCTTCAATCTCACACACACACACGCACATACCCTCTCATCCATATCCACAACAGCATTCACACAGCCTCGTCCATCCCAGGGTAAATTGGTTAAATCCATTGACCCAAAAAGGACATTTACACTCCACCCGAATCCTTACGTTCGCGGCGCGACTCCGTATCTTTCAATAATCCAACATCCGCGTCCGGGACGTAACAAAGAACTAGCGCACAATATTAGATCCAAGGTTAATCTGCGAGCGCAATCGAAGGACTTTGAGCTGAAAAATAGCGTGGCACGTATACGGACTTAAAAATGATACATGCGCCGGTGATTTTTATGAGAGGAATTGTGGCGATAAGACCAACTCGAACTAGATAATCAGCACATAAAACCCGGTTTAATGCTATCTTTAAGTCTCGATCGGTTATCCGAGCGGTAATGCCACGCTCCATTTCCGAAAGTTTCAACCCTTGTTATCGAAGCCCGTGGTGTATGTGCCCGTTACTACAATGTATTTGCTCTTCCTGAAAGGATACCCATAAATCTGAGAGAGGAAACTCGAAATGGATGGGGACGGCAAAAGGCAGCCGTAAGTAATATGAGAATAAACAACGGATCTGCACAACTCTAAATTGATATCATAATGGGAGTAAGAGTGGATAAATGAAATTTCGCGTTGGAACTTCCATGACAGATGGTTTCCCATCTCTCGGGAAGAAAATATCTTTTAAAATTGAATATCAGACTCAGGTCTCTCCCTCCTTGCTCTACTGCCGGTGTACTGCTTTACGACGGGGAAAATGCACTGGCCGTACAGAAGAATAAGAATTTCACGCGGAGCTTCTTCCGCCACCTTAAAAATATAAATTAAAGTGCTATTAGTCACGAAGCGAAATGATTCATAGCCGAAGCGAAGTTAGATTACAACGAACGTCTTCCGTCCGGGACGGGAAACAGGTATCACGGCGAGAGGGAGAGATCCGTTGCGACTGGCCGCGCTAAAAATCGTGCAGTCGCGCCGGGGAACTTTTACGCTTGAAGGCGAGCGCAAATTAGAATTTACAAATGCGCGGACTACTTGGAACACATGACTTCGTTCGCTTCTTCCGCGGAGGAATACGAGATAAGGGACGTTAAACGCGATGCTCAACGTTTATTTCAAATTACTGTCGCGCCTTACGAGTGCGAATCGTGCGACACGTCGAAATGCATACGCGCATCGGAATCCTCTGATCCACTTTCTTTCGCGAAGTATCGTAAACAGTATCCCGTATCGGGGATGTGCACCTTATATTCCGTATCGGAGCGTCGAATCTTCCGGGGAAAAATAGAGGAGAGAAAGGGAGAAAGGGCGAGGGATAAGAAGCGTTATCTGCTACCAACAAAGTTTCCACGCTTCCTGCGTATTTTTCTCTTTGGGCTTATATGACCCACCCATACCGTCGCCTCACGGCTGAATGTTTCGCGGAGATTACCTGTCAGAATACGCATTTCCCGCTAGCGAGTAAATTTCTCTTCCGGCCGAACGGCGAAAATGTTCCAATGTGGCGGGACGGTCCTTTCAGAAAGCGAGTGAGTATTATTCTTCGTCTTGGGCGAGCTTTTTTTCTCCTTTTAATTTGTCATAAGCGGGACACGGACGCATTATGAGGAATATCGAGTGTACGGCGAAGAGAAGCAGGCAAGTACGAATCTTTCTCGAAGACATTCTGTTCCGTCGTAATGTAGCAGTTTCTTGTTGCTCGCGTCACGTCGCTAACTCAACGGAGCTTGTTAGCGATGTGGCTTTACGCGTAACTGACGCACAGTTGATGCAGACAAAGTACCCGAGACATTACTCTCGGGACATCAGAAAAAAGCTCCCGTGACGAGGTACGTGTAATCATAATTTTCTAAAGAGATTTGTTTTACTGACAATTTATTTGTATCTAAAAAAGAGAGAGACAGAGAGAGAGAGAGAAAGACAAAGAGAGACAGACATAATCGAACAGATACAGGATAATTGCCAATCGTAAAGTGATGTTTATTGTGAGAATATCTTATTGTTTCTGCAAGGGGAAAAGAGATGGGGGGGAGTAGAGAGGAGGTACAGAGATAGAGAAACACAAAGCTCGAACTATAACGCTGTCTCTCTCACACTGAATCTTAACTTGTTTCTAAGTTCTCTCGAGAGTATCAGTCTCCCGCGGCAAGGTAAACCGTGAAACGGCGGAATTACGAGTTGTGTTGTGGTAATCTATGTATTCCTCTCCGACTACAGTTGCGATATTGCAACGTCAGAATGCCGTTGAATGTATCCCGGCAAACAAATGATTCTTCTTAATGCGCGCTATAATTTTATTCTCTATAAGCTCCTCTTCTCTCTACGGTGTCGCACGTACCTCCGCTCGGAGCCGATATGTACTGGCGAATCTGTTATGCTTGCAAATAATTGAAATAAGCGTATTTAACAGTAAACTTTACACTCGAAAAATATATGTGATTTATGAGTACACAAACAAATTTAGAAGCATTAGCAATTTTATCGTTTCATATGTACGCAACTAATATCTACATTTTTTTAAATACAGTACGACGTAATACCGTTTCTTATGTACGCTGAACTTAATTCCTATGCTAACAGATACTTTTGTCACTAAAAGACAATTAAAAGACAAGGTGTAGTAAAATTTGTCTTATCATCCATTTGTTTTCTGTTATCACGTTGGGAGCACTTTTAAAGCTGTGGGCCGATTTCAATACACGTGGTAGTAATGATGAGTTATCAGTTATTATGATTCGATTTTGGTATACACGGTGTTGACATGAATGTTTAGTCGTTATGCTTAAAATGTTATAAATTAGAGTACCGAAAATGTTATAGCTAAATCAAAACAGATAACAATATTTCGTTAGAATTGATCTAACAATTCATATCTATATATAAATTGTTTCAATAAAATACATCGTACCATTCAATTAGAAACGCGAAATCTTCAAAAAATTGACCTTACATTTGTTTTATAATAAGTTATAATTTTTTATTGTGTTTAGTTTTATTCTATAATATCTTGTTTATTACTCTTCAATTTTTAGTTTTGAAATAACCTTATCTATTTTGTATTACGGTACATTTTATACTTTAAATATATTCGCTTTCATAATTAATAACTTTCTAACTCAAAAAACCATAAATTAAATAATTATAACACATTTATCAAGCTTTATATAGTATACCGTTTTCGGTACGCACAGCGTAAATTGAAAGTTAAAAACGGCTTAACACTGAACGTGTTAATGAAGTATGTGTAAGCATTTTATAATAATTAGATGTCTACATGTTTCAGCTTTTAACTATCTAGCAAATTTGAAACGAAGTGTTACATAATTTTTAAAAAGTTTTGAAACGTGCTAAGTACGAAAGAAACAAACGATGAGTGTGAAGCATTTAATGACAAATAATAATTTTTTTTATTAGGATTTATTTTAAAAAGTTCTTCTATTTTGAAATTATAATTGCAAGTTGCTATTATAATTTCAATTGCATGTGAGAGTTATCTTCCATTAAACTTGTTTTGTTGATCTGGTCGTTCGTACATAAATGACGCGAACTAAACAAGTGCAAAATTCTACACCAAAGCTGAGCGCTATACGGATCCACGGGATAACACTCAAAATATGTTATGCATATATTACTTAATTAAATGTATTAATTGATAAAGCGGCTATACACAGATAATGCATAAATAAACATTTGATGAGCTAAATAATCTATTTATGTACGTGATTGATTTGCAGCATTCCGGACTGCGAACATAGTTTTGTTGACATAGCTGTGATTGGAATATAATTTTCGTTCGCTCTCGTATCTTCTAAGTATTTGCAATTGTTTCGAAACCGAAATGTTTCAGTACTATTTACGAGTAAAATTTGTTAGGGTAATCCTTACAAAACGTTGTTACTCGTTTTGTTTAAGTTCTAACATTTTTGGTTTCCAAATTTCTGATATTGTTTTTATAGAAAAGGATGCAACGTCGTCTTGGTGCCGGTTTATTTGGGAATCGGACGGTAACAATTGAAAATTACCGTGTATACCGAAATCGGTCTATAGCATTGAAAGTGCTGCAAACATAATAACAGAATACGAGTGGGTGATAAAACAAGCTATTTTATTGTATTTTGTCTTTTAAAAAAATATCAGTTTTTGACAAAAATATAAATTGGTGTAAAAGTCGAATTCAGTGTGTGTGTTGAAAACGATACACATGGCAAGAAATGTGTTAAACGTACATTAAATATTAAAAATGCAAACACTTAGCCGTATCATGTGCGATCACTTCGCGTCAGAATTTCATTCGGGAAATTTAGAAACGGAGTGGCTCATTACATTAAACGAAGCTGCTGCCCATTAGCTCGCGGTACAGTTCGCGGTTACTTCGACGAGGAGCGCGTCTGAGAACTCTTGAAATCGACAAACATATCTATAGTAAGAACGCGTTGAAAACTTACGCGAAAAATCGTAGAACTTACTGATGCCTGCTAGCGTCCGTAGAACTAAATTGCAAGGTTATTCTATCGAAATTAACAATACGTGAACTACCCTAAATTACAGAGAAACTTGCGAAAGGTTTTAAACGTGCGGTAAAATGTATTTTAAAAAAACGTGTTTTTATCTTCACAAACGTGTTTTTTTACTTTCAGCTACTCTATGGCATATTCGAGAAACATTAAAATAAACGCGTTTATAGACAGATAAAATATTAAATTCTTATCAAAATTTTGTCAGTTTTTTATAGGTGTTTCTTTGCAGTTGATTTTCTACTAGTCTTTAGTGGTCTTTGGTCTGAAATATGTGATTAAAAAACTGACAGAACTTTTGTAACAACCTAATATTATTGTCTTTATAGTATAACATATATATATACGTATGTACATATATACGGTGTCTGAAACCTTTCTTAGAATTACATCCGCGATGTGCAGTTAGAACTGACGAAATTGAATAGAAAAGAAATATATTATTTTACAAAATTCGCAATGCGAAGGTAGATCGGAAAGTTTCTAGAACAAGAAAGAAAACACCATTTTTTGGGCAAAATTATATTTAATTTTCAACATAGTGTTACGTCCTGGGTGTCTCGGAAACTACGAATTTCTCTTTTTAATTTTATGATTGGGAAACAGACGGACTTCGGGCAAGCGCTACTGTAACAAAGATAAGATTACATTGGCCGCCGATAAACGTGCCGTATGGTTCCCAATGCGTTTATCATTCATTCCGCCTTCATGTAAGATATGTAGTTTATTTACATCCTGGATACCCCGGGGACGACAGATTCCTTTTTTTTATATAACTAAGTTATTTTACCGCCTCTACGTTAGGCACGTATGTGTCCATACTGGGTACCTAGATAGCAACGAATTCCTTCTCTTATGATTGTAAAACAAACAAATTTGATCAAGCGGTTTATGAAAAGATACGAGTACACGCCGCCCATATATGTCATAAGGCTCCCGATGGGGCTGCGATCTATCCACCCTTGTATACAGTCGGTAGAACAAAGGTCCTTCTATGCGATTAGGTTCTTAAAATTATTTATATCAATACTAGGAATTTTCCAGAGTAACCGTCTTCCACGCAACCTCCTCTCATTGATGGACGTAATCCCCTGAAATCCTTCCTATATAAGCCTTACCCTTTTTGCCGCGAGCGCAGTTACAATAGTAGTTTTTTTTGCAGTCAGTCAGTCAGTAGTCATAGTCGCAGTTAGAATTACAGTTCCAGTTGCTGTTCAGTACAGTACAGCCCAGCCTAGTTCAGTTCAGTTTAGTTGAAGCGCAGTCCAATCTAGTTCAAGTCCAGTACAGTTCAGTCCAGTCCAGTTCAAGTTATAGTTACAATTAGAGTTACAGTCGCAGTCACAGTTGCAGTTCTTAGTGTCAGTTCTTAGTTAGTCAGTCTTAGTTCAGTCTTCAGCAGTCCACAGCCATAGTCTAGTCCAGCCTTCGTCTTCGTCTTCATTCGTCCTCGTCAGTCTATTGATTCATCTAAATCGTAAGTCTCGATTTCATATTTAAACATGACTTTTAATCATTTCAATCCAATCTTCAATCCCATCTCACTCCTCAAACCACACACATACACTGCGCGTAATTATTATCTTCCTTGCATTATATAATGATGTTTTCCTCGCCATACCGACACGTTAACATTCTTGTTACGCTAAATCCGATCGTATTATATTAAGTTACACGAATTACATTTTTCTTAATCTAATTTTAATCTTCATCTCGTATCTGCATTATTTCAATAATGCTGATTTATAAAAGTTGTTTAATGTTAACCCACATATCTCATTGTTTAACTTTAGATAACCTTTTCATCTTTTAAATGTTGTATCTTTTACAATGTTACAAATTTCTGTTACAAATTTCTCATCAATTTACCACTATTATTAATCCATCCGAGAACCAAATTATGTTATTAATAAACTGTTTTATTCAAAATATCCTAAATTTAATCAAGTCGTTAAAACTATTTATTCATTTCCTTTCAATCACTCAAATCTAAATTCCCCTCTCAACACGCTCATGTGGTCCTATCCCAGGTAAAGAGATTAAGTTCTTTGATCTAAGTAAAGGACCACCTGCGTTCTGTGATCGGAGTAAACGACCGTGGCCGGTCATATATGACCAACGCGGCAGTCAAAGTGTTAATGAAGAACTAATTAATCTGTATGAATTAATTTACGCACGTGAAGCGGTAGGCTGGAGAAAAATGGCTTACTTGCGAAGATGTCCCAGCAACGATAAACATCAACTAATTTCTAGAGGCGGAGTAATACAACCAGCAGCGAGCGGCATGTGACACAGAGCCGCGCTCCGAAAAGAAACACGCTTTTCGCTATCAGTTGATGCCCATCGTTGCTAGGAAATGTTTAGAAGTCATTTTTCTTTATACAGAATACGGCCTATTGTTTCTCGTGCGTTTAACAATTCAGGCAGATTAATTAATTCCTCATTAACTATTTCAAACTTTGCACAATAATACATGACTTTTCTATTCAGTTTCATCTGTTCTACCTGAATACCACGGATATCAAAAAAATTTCAGACACCCTGTATGTGCATAAGGTCAAAGATGGCTATATCAAATACAATTGTCATAAATTGCTTATAATGACAACGTTGCGTTATCAAATTGACTTTGCCGAACCTCACAAAATTATGAACAATATAGATATACCTATCTACATTTTGTTCTCATGTTAAGTAGCGAATACTTAACTACTTAATTGTATTACTTATACACGCACATGAAATGTATTTAAGGCTTCTAGAGTAATCAGTTAGAAACTCCTTATTGACAATAGCGGCACAGTTCAAAACGATAAAAAGAATAATAACCCAATAAAATACGCTTAGCAAACGCTATAAATGCTTCGAGACGTTTCTCTTTCTTCACTTATTTTGCGGGTCCGAATAAAGGAAGAAGAAAAGGAGAAACGCTTCGAAACATTTACAATGCTTGCTGGGCCGCATTTATATATGTGAAGAGTGACGTATTGACAACGAAATTTTGTGTTGTGCCATTTCTTTATTATTTGCTTAATTGTGTAGGTATGACTTGTGACATATTCGTTAAACTCGTGAAAATGGACGAAAATCAAGATTAGCCTGGAATTTATACGTAGGAGTATATTTTCCACTCTTTTCAACAGTTACGAAACTGTGTGTTTTCTTATATGAATAGGATTATTAAGGTTTTATTTCACATGCCTTTTATGACTATTTATTGACTGTTAGGAAGGAGAATGACAGTTTTCAACCATTTTCACAAACGTCTTCAAGTGATCCCAAGTGTTGTTTTATATCTCTCAACAAATTGTGTCTCGCCTATGACGTCACAAATCCAATATCGCGGCGATTACTGGAGAGCTTTAAATAACACGTAGCACTTGCACGTATAGAAGGCGGCAATAATCAAAACACAGTTATCTCTAACTATATATAGATCAGAAATATTAACAGATTTATTTTCATTCAGTCGCAGTTATTAGCAGTCACTCGTCTGCAGGATGGCAACCTCGTCATTTGCCAGAACCGTTGTTATCCTAATCATCAGTGGTGTTCTAGCGATTGCATCCAGTTCCGATACTCAAGGCTCTACCACAAACGATGTGCAACGTGTTCCCCAAAACTTTTTATTAGGCGCATCTGCGTCCTCTTATCAAATAGAAGGCGCTTGGAACGAAGATGGTATGTAAATTATGTATTACTGTAATATCGGAAATAAGTAACTAAACTTTAGGAGTTTATATATTCCATTCATATTAAGGGGATCCCGAATTTGTGTACGAGCGCGGTAAACGTCTTTCTAAGATAATTTCGTTTTGGCTGCATAAATTTCCAAATTCAAAAGTGCAAAAAAATTTAACAAACTATACCAACTCACCCAAATATGCACTTCGTACATAAGTTAATATCCATCTTTGCTAGGAAATGTTCACAAATAAGCCATTTTTCTTTATATAGAATCCGGCCTATTGCTTCTTGTGCATTTATCAGCTCATGCACATTAATTAATTCATCATTAACTATTTCAAATTTTGCAAAAATAGCACGTCACTTTCCTATTCAGTTTTGTCCGTTCTACCTGCACACCACGGACACTAAAAAAGCAACTTTGTACGTACAAGATAATATCAAAGTATACTTCGGAAAACATGAAAGAATAATACTGACTCGTCAAAAAGAAGTTTCGGAATGTAATATAAAAGTTATCCTAGAATACAATCTATCGCATCTATCACACAAGAGTGTATCGGCAATATCTTTGAAACTTGATGTTGAACTAATGAAAGCGAGACCACGATAATCTAAATGTATACAGTCCTTTCGAATACGCGTTAGCTCAGTCTTTTTTAGATACGTTTGCATCATTAAAGAGAGAACTGAGCTTCAGAGATGAGTGCTGCATATACAAACAGTTGAGGCAATTTTCCTGTGTCACCCAAAAGGGTGAAAAATGAGTTTTGCAAGTGCTGCTAAATACTTGCATAAGTCGTCACAGTTCGTTAGGAAGTGGATAAAACGATATAAAGAAATAAAAAGTATCGATGACTTTCCAGATCGCGGCTCGAAGCGAAAGACTACCAATAAAAAAGATAAAGCGGTTCTTCGACTTTTTGAGAAGAACCCGAATCTTTCTTTACGAAAAGGAGTTTTGACAAAAAAGGGTGCAAACATTAATATAATAACACTGAAACGTCGTTTGAAAGAGCATAATGTCAAATGACGTAGTACAATATCCAAACTGTTACTATCAAAAATCGCCTGGCGTTATAGTGTTCAATGATGAATCTTCCTTTTGGGCCTGGTGTTCTATTAGACATGCTTGATCTAGCCGTGGATAACCAGTAATAGAAAAGAGTGTAAAACACCCGACAAAAATGCATGTTTTAACAGGGTTGTTTTAACGTTTCATCTTCACGTATGTTATCAAGTGCTTAGCTCTGAATAACAAACAAAAAGTTTTAGCTGTCGGTCTTTGTTCATTAAAAAATTATTAACGAAAACGTTTACAAATTTTCCTAGCTCCGTTACGCTCTCCCGACCGGGGCTCCATCCCGGGAGCTTCATCCCCGAGAACAAAAGACTTAGCTCCTTTAAATTCTTGATTATCAATCAGGCAAAGTTTTTGGATAGGAGAGTCTGGGAGGTATAGGCCCATAGTTATGGCACTGGGGGGTAATTCCACGTTGCCATTTCATATTACGTTAAATTTACATGCACATCACTTTCAATCGTAATATGTTGTTACGTATTATATAACCATGTAATGATGTTGCCATTCTACTAAACGCCCGTTTCGAAATAGCTAGTATAATTGTCAAACTGCTTTCGTTAATAAACAGTGCGACGGCTAAAACCTCATGAAAATTATTCAGGCATGACCTTAACAATATATGTACATAATGTCGCAAAACTATTTTTTCACAAACTTTATTTAGACAATTTTTTTTGTAAATAACTTTTTGAAAAACAAAGTCCAACGGCTAAAACGTTAATTGTTATTTAGAACTACGTAATTGATAACATATGTGAAGGTAAAAATCATCAGCGAGGTAACTTCTAATATAAATAATCATCAATATTTTTTGTTACATTTGAGGAAGAAGTCATGGTACAACTACACAAAGCAATAATATAGTTATTCTATTTGTGGATAGATAGTGTTGTGGCGATACTGTGAAACAAGCGGTATTGAAAACGTCTTGCCTGTCCTGTCGTATTGGGTAGCTCCTTGGGAGGGGAGAGGAGGGGCACAAAATAAGTATGCACCACCACTGAACTCTATACTACGTAGGTCGCGTGATAAGGCCTTAGAAAAAATATGAAAATATAATTTTTTTGGAGCGGAATAATTTTTATTTTTCAATATAATCTCCCTCAAACTAAATGTACTTGGTCCAATGATTCTCAAGTTTTTTCATGCTTTTCATACAATATGATTTATCTTTCTCCTCAAAGTAGTTGTTTACAACATGAATTACTTCAATATTTGAGCCAAATCTCTTTTTACCCAACCATTTTTTCAAGTCTGCAAATAGGAAAATCAGAGGGAGTTAAATCTGGAGAATACAGATCAATTTGAAGCATAATTTATGCAATTTTAATTATTGAAACTGCAGACGTGTGAGCTGGTACGTTGTCCTGTTAAAAAAACACTTTGCCATATGACAACGTCTCTTCTTGATCGCATCATTAAATTGGTCCAATAATAATGCATAATACTCCCTTGTGACTTTTTTTCTATTTTCCAATCGATAAACAAGCACGTCATTATTATATTAATTATGTCATTCCTTAGCAGCCTGACAAGTAAAAAATATACGGTTAACGGTTAAAATGGAACGATATACTCTTCAGTATTATATAGAAATTGTAAAAGCCCACTACAAAAGTTGTGAAAATTTCACGAAAATAGTTCGTAAAGTTTGTACTGCTTTTGGTCGTAATGAAACATCTTTTCGTCCAGCAATTATTAACCTAATCAGGAAATTTAAGCGTTTGCATCAAGTTAGTGATGTAAAGATCCCAACTCGCGCTCGGCTAGCCGAATCAACCAAAAACATTACTATTGTGGCTAAAAGTGTCACAGAAAACTTAGGTTTATCCATTCCAAGACGTCCGCAGCAATTGGGTATATCGCAAAGCAGCCTGCACCATATTTTACATAAAGATCTTGGCCTGCATGCTTACAAAGTCCAACTGATACAAGAATTAAAACCGACAAACAATGCACAACACCGTATGTTCGTTGATTGTTCCCTGGATGCATAATTTCTCGACGCGGAAATTTTAATTTCGTGCGATTTAATATCGCTAGACTATTTTCTTTAGGGCTATGTGAAAGATAAAGTCTACGCTAATGCTCCGATTCAAAGGCTCAAGGACAATATCAAAGATGTTATTCACGAAATCGAGCCGCAATTATGCGAATATTGCGATGCAAGATTTCTTAAAAAAAGTGACCATTTGTAAAAAAAAAGCCAAGACAGCCATTCTTCAGATATCATGTTTTACACTTAATCGTACAGTCTGTATTTCATATTGGAATAAAAATATCACCACTTTTTAAAGAAAAACTTATTTTTCTAATAATTTAATAATGAAACTTCTTATTGAAAAACCCGTTTAATATAATTAAATCTATTATAATTTTATTTCTATTATATGATTAATCTATTATAATTTTAATAATATATAAATGTATATTGTTAGCTTATAAAGATATGTGTAAAGAGCTGTTTCGATATGAAATTTCAGATATTAGGAAGCGTCTCACAGATTTCGTAACGTCAACTGTCCTGAGGCTGAGCGTCGCGATTATCAGTTGCGCGGCCCGCAGAGCGAGCTGCTAGAGAGACAAGAGGAAGTAAGGGGCCCTCGAAAATTGTCTCGTTTATACAAATAATTCCGAGCTTTAGTTTGGAACAACCTCATGATGCACTTATTATCGCACAACATCATGGCTCGTCTTTTTTCGCGTTCCAGAAGATTATCGACATTGACTAAATTTATATCGCATCGCTTTTTTTAACGAATGCTTTTAATGGTACAATATAGTTAAAGTTTTTTTATATGAAATCTGTAGGCCTTTCGGATGCGAAAATACTGCTTCAAAACGTTTCCAACATATACCTCATTCATTTCGTCCGGTTTGCGTCGAATATAAAACGTTACTAGAACACATCTACTGTATGATGAAATGAACGACGCGTTCCTTCTCTACTCACTCCTCACTCTACGACTCGCCACATTCTACCTGTTAGGATCCAGCCACATATTGCACACAGTATTATATAATATGATGTATAATAAGAGCCACTTTTGTGGACTGACTGTACTACGTGTAGTAGTGGTATCACCGCGTCCCACGATCTAACATCTCTACATATGCCACGTTTGCTGCACATGATAACGTCAGTAATCAGTCAGTAATTAACACAGGCATCATGTGCAATATACTTACCTACACATTATATTTACTTTTTATACTTTATATATTACCGACGCTTTCGGAGTTCGGCTACACCATTCTAGGATCCCCTTAAGGATAAGAAAAGTCTAACATAGACAAGATACGTTGAATGAAAACGACGTTTATCTCGTGATTAATTTCACTGTTACGACGTGTTTAAATTTATAAAGGTAAAGGTCTGAATGTCTGTGACCAGTGGACACATCAGTATCGAGATAAAATATACAATCATTCCAATGGCGATGTGGCTTGCGACTTTTACCACAAATATAAAGAAGACGTACAAACGTTAAAAAATATTGGAGTACGTTCCAGATAGATACATTTCGAAACTGAGAATGCAGTTATAACGATATATAACATATCTAATATCGAAATATTGTACTATTTCAGGTCGATTTTTTCCGATTTTCTCTTAGTTGGTCGCGAATCTTACCGAATGGTTATTCCAACGTGATTAATCACGATGGACTCAAGTTTTACAAAGATCTTATTGACGAATTGATTGCAAATGACATTGAGCCGTTTGTCACTCTATATCACTGGGATCACCCGAATGTTTTCGAAGATATGGGCGGATGGACCAATGAATTGATGGTCGAGTGGATATCCGAATACGCAAGAGTCGTCTTCAAGGAGCTTGGCCCCAAAGTTAAATATTTTACGCCCATCAATGAACCTACAATTTTATGCAATTTAGGGTACGGGTCAGATCTACTATCGCCAGGTATTTATCGTTTCCTTTAAATGTTTGTAAAAGTTCATATAATATTAAAGAAATTTTCATTTATTAATAATAATAAGATGACATAATATTCCAATGAAAGTATTGGCCGTTGTTATCGACCGCCATTGTTATCGATCGCCGTTGTTATCGACCGCCGTTGTTATTAACTTTTTACCATCTTTCAGGCAATAGTTTAATCCCACACCAATAAAATGACTCATCTTTTAAAACTCAATCATCGAACCCATTCATTGAGCCATTTTCACACTTCCTCAGCATTTTGAAATCTTATATCAGATAGACCGTACAACATAGATTTGAATGGATGAAAATCAGATGGGGTGATGTCTAGAAAGTACGCTAAGTGCTACAGAACTTCCCAATCTCACTCGATCAACGTCTCTTTAGTCGTAACAGCAGTACACGGCTTGACATTGTCGTGAAGCAGAATGACTTTGTGACGATTCACGGCTATTTGAAGGCATTTTTCCTTCTTGGCTTGGCTCAATCGCCATTATTATTGACTATAGCGATCTTCTGTGACTGTCTCCTGCAGTGATGATAACTCATAATAAAGCAGTCCTTCTTAATCCCATCAGATACACAAGTGAATCACCCCTATTAACCTGGATCCCCCATCATCGCAAATTGAGTTCGCATTAATAAAAAAATTTAGTGCTATCTGTGCCAATCTGCTTATGTGCCAATTAGTTGCCCTAATCGTGATTTTATTGCTCCAACCGTTTAGCAGGAAATAGTTTAAAATGGGGCCAGGTAGACATTAAGCTGGACCCCCCATAACGAAAAAATTATTTAGGATGGTCGTACGAAACAATTATATGGGAATTTGTTGTTATTTTATCGCTCTTTTATTGTTCAGCAACAAAATCAAGCATTATTATATTTGTAAAATATACGCTTCAACGAATAATTTGATACCAAATAGTCAATAACCCACCAGTCGATAACAACGAATTGTTTTAAGGCATGTCGAGATTGGATGGGTTTTGCCTGAGATGCTCCACTTGTTAAATAATTATATTTCTTTAACAATGTTGCTTTCCGTAATTTTTTTACTCGCTATCATAGAGCAACAAGGTAGCAACAAATTCTCATATAATTGTTTTTTTTATATGACCATCCTACAATTCTTCGTTATGGGGAGTTCAGCTTAATGTCTACCTGACTCCATTCATTTTAAACGCTATTTCCTGCTAAACGGCTGAAGCAACAAAATCGCGATTAGAGCAACTAATTGACACATAAATAACACAAAATTTTTTTGTTAGTGCAAACTTGATTTGTGATGGTGAGGGGTCCACGTTAATAGGGGTAAGAGAATCTTATGGCTGTGGATGTTGCGTTTTGTTGTGGATGTCGATGGTTGGCCGGGGACAATCCATGACTTTTTATGTTTAGAATTGTCAAAATAAATCCATTTTTCATCACCCGTAACTATTCGCCACAATAAATTTTTTTCGTGCCTGGCAATCAATGAGAGGAAAACAGTAAGCCGGTTTACAATCGCGTGTACAGAAAGTTCATGGAGAAATCTTCCTTTCTTCTGGATAATTGATTTCAAACCGCAAGATACTGTTGATTCATCAACTCCAAGCTTCCCTGTAAACTCTTTTAATATTTGGACTGAATTTCCGTCGACTTCAGTGCTTTCAATTAGTTGTTCTCCATTTCGTTTGGACAATCAAAAAGTTGCTTGTTATTGACGTCGTAATAACCATTTCTAAACCTTTTAAACATTTCTCACAGATAGCAGCGGACATAATATTTTCTCCATAAATCTCACAGAATGTCTTTTCGTTGTAGCAGCAATTTTACCTCGATTAAAGTGATAAGGCATGCAATGGCGAAGATGATTTTTATTTGGTTTTATCTTCAATCGCGTTATATAATGTGACGTTTTGTTCGAAACTATGATCTGTCAACCATCAATTCTGATCCATTATGACTAACATTTAAAAACTAAAACATTTACTTAAAGGAAAGCAATTACTGAGTCACTGCCGTAGCTACCTATTTATGACTCTACGAACATTTGCAAACATATAATATTTATCGATTGTTTATGAGTGGCTACATCTTCGATAAAAATCACCGAATCGTTTCTAATCTGGTAAATGGATTTTTAAAAAATTCTTTTAGGAAAGAAATTAAATGGTACCGGGCCGTTACAATGCATACACAACACTTTAAAGGCGCATGCTAGGATTTATCATATCTACGATAAAGAATTTCGTAAGGAACAGAATGGTCAAATAGGCCCAAACATTCCTTGCAATGGACTGTTCGCCAAAACTACCGAAGACGTCGCAGCGGTAGACACCTACTTCCAATTTAGCTGCGGCATAATAGCGGCTCCTATTTTTTCCAAGACTGGCGACTATCCGGAGATAGTGAAAAATCATATGGCCGAAAATAGTAGGCTAGAAGGATTTTCGAAATCGATTCTGCCGGAGTTTTCGCCAGAATGGGTGCAGTATATCAAGTAAGTGAGTGCGTCTTGTTGCGAATATCGATATCGGTAAACGGCATAAGCATACGCATAAGCATATTCGATTGTGACATTCCCGAACATACGCACGTCACAAGTTTCTTCTGCTTGCATCTTTATCGCCGAAACAATTAATGATCAGACATTAGTCACAAATTTTGCAACAATAAATTAGAAAATTTCTTATAGGTACGATAAAAGCAATTCATTAATCAATCCATTAATAGGCCTCTGTTCTCTATAAATGCATTATAACACCATATATTATGTTATATTTACGTTGTTAAGTGCAAAATTTTAACGTAGATGTTATATAAATAATGCTCGTCTAGATGATTATTCCTTGAATAGCGTTATTTATTTATTTATTTATTCATTTATATACGAGTAATATCTCTTTAATACAATAAGTTCGACAAATAAAGTAATAAAGGAAAAAGGAGAAAAATAAACAAATAATAAGAGAAAAAATGAAGTACTACCTATAAAATATTAAATAAAAATGCTAGTATAGAACAATACAATTATAGTGATACACATATTATATGCACGACTGTTTGCTGCGATCCGGATAAAGAAATCCGAATCGTCGGTGCAATTATAATTGTTCGAAAAATTTTCGCGAGAGCAATCACGTTAATTATTTAGGCGTTGAATGCGGGGTTTCTGCATCCACCAAGGTCGAAGTGATCTACAAAGTTTTCAAATACTTCGGATCCGGTACGTCGCTATCCATGGTGAAAGTTTTGTCTTCGACAGGACCGATAACTCGCGTTTCGTAAGCCGATGATAGAAGGGTTCGAATAGACACGTTAAGCTACGAGTGAATAAACACTTCTTAGACCTTCAACAATAAACAAAAACTTGAGTTTATTCGTTAGGTATTTTTTCTTTTGCACGAGGAAAGTTCGCTGTTGCAACGGCGTTCGCCTTCGATAGCAGAATTTCAGTCAACCTTTCCGCGATGATTTTTCGGTGACCGTTAATCGTGCATGTTTCACGTCGCGTTGCCGGCAAGCCTCGAATCGGGAGGACGGCACGATTATACAGTATCTTTTACAAGAACGTGGCGCCTCCATATCTGTAAGAAAAATCATCATTCAAAAAAATCGTTATGGTCAAAAAGTATTCTTTGTGCAATATTACGTAATTGTGTACAGAAAGTTCTCCATTGTTATCAAGTATTGTTTGACACCGTTTGAACATGTTCCCGACTAATTTTTCAGCTTTACATTGGAAATGGCCGCCAAATTTCTCGAAAACGTAATGCTAATTGTTTGGCAGCAAACACACGTTTTCTCTGAAGCTTCTTTTTCATAAAAGCCCGAATCTTCTCAATCGGATTCGCATCCAATGATTATACAGGCCGGTCCAAGGCTTTTGAACCATTTTCCTCTTTCCACGCTGTGCACAAACGATTTCGATGTTTCGAGTCGTTGTCTTTCTGAAATATCCAATTGGTTGTTTCAGCTCCAAATCACTTCTTGGCAGACTTCACTGATATAATGTTATTACGTTTTGTGCATTGAGATTTTCTCTGAAGAGAACTAAAATTTTAAAACCTCGAATATTAACCCTTTTCCTCCCACATAAAACAAATTTTTTTTAAACTTTCAACCTTATATCTTTTAACGAAAAAATCATATGAAAATTTATCAAACATCATTTCTTATAGATTTTGACCTCCTCTTTCAAATGCCGTTGAGTAATTTCACCCAAATCGTAAGCCGGAAAAGTTATAGGCCATTTTTCCGAAAAATTCACAAATTTTTCACGGTTTTTTTTTATATTTATTTTGAATTGGAAAAAATTTGCACACGCCATCGCAATCACTATAAGCGGTGTTATAGATGTCTGCTCTTTCAAACCCCGTTGGATATTTTTTGAAATTCAAAATGGCGGACACAAAATGGCGTTTGAAAGGGAAAATTTTTTGTTTCAACTTTGCGAATTTTTTTCTCAAAAACTATTAAGTTTGGTGAGAAATTCCTAAGAACAAAAATGTCTTAAAATCAGTCAAAAAATACCCTCAAATTTTTCTAGAACGGTTTTACAACATTTTTGAAAAATTTTATTCTTTCCCTCTCCAGAAGAACTAAAAATTATCTTTAAAAATTCTGAAAAAATTTGAGAGTATTCTTCGAATGATTCTAAGATATTTTTTTCCTCAGAAAATTTTTACTAAACCCTATAGTTTATGAGAAATCGTCCGGATTCTATCGGAGTTTAGTTTGGTATTAGGAGAACAGGATCGGCGAGGCGGTTAAGGCGTTAAGGAGGTTAAGGAGGTTAAGTCATGCAAGCTCCTCGCTCGTCATATTCTCCTGATACGATTCTGTGAAAATTACGCAGCGTCCGGATTCTATCGGAGTTTAGTTTGGTATTAGGAGAACAGGATCGGCGAGGAGGTGAAGGCTTTGAGTCATGCAAGCTCCTCGCTCGTCATACTCTCCTGATACGATTCTGTGAAAATTACGGAGCATCCGGAATCTATCGGAGTTTAGTTTGGTGTTAGGAGAAGCCTTCTCGCTGATCACGTTCTCCTAATACCAAATTAAACTCCGATAGATTCCGGATGTTGCGTAATTTTCAAAGAATCGTATCAGGAGAATATAACGAGCGAGGAGCTTTTATGACTTAACTCCTAAACCTTCTCGCTGACCACGTTCTCCTAACACCAAACTAAACTCCGATAGAATCCGGACGCTGCGTAATTTTCACAGAATCGTATCAGGAGTATATGACGAGCGAGGAGCTTGCATGACTTAACCTCCTTAACCTCCTTAACGCCTTAACCGCCTCGCCGATCCTGTTCTCCTAATACCAAACTAAACTCCGATAGAATCCGGACGATTTCTCATAAACTATAGGGTTTAGTAAAAATTTTCTGAGGAAAAAAATATCTTAGAATCATTCGAAGAATACTCTCAAATTTTTTCAGAATTTTTAAAGATAATTTTTAGTTCTGAAGAGGCAAAGAATAAAATTTTTCAAAAACGTTGTAAAACTGTTCTGAAAAAATTTGAGGGTATTTTTTGACTGATTTTAAGACATTTTTGTTCTTAGGAATTTCTCACCAAACTTAATAGTTTTTGAGAAAAAAATTCGCAAAGTTGAAACAAAAAATTTTCCCTTTCGGACGCCATTTTGTGTCCGCCATTTTGAATTTCGAAAAATATCCAACGGGGTTTGAAAGAGCAGACATCTATAACACCGTTTATAGTGATTGCGATGGCGTGTGCAAATTTTTTCCAATTCAAAATAAACATTTAAAAAAAAAACCGTGAAAAATTTGTGAATTTTTCGGAAAAACGGCCTATAACTTTTCCGGCTTACGATTTGGGTAAAATTTCTCAACGGCATTCGAAAGAGGAGGTCAAAATCTATAAGAAATGATGTTTGATAAATTTTCATATGATTTTTTCGTTAAAAGATATAAGGTTGAAAGTTTAAAAAAAATTTGTGTTATGTGGGAAAAAAAGGGTTAAAGCAACTCCAAACCCAAAGGAATTTTTGTTGGGTGTTTAAGTGCGCGTCAGCAATCGGCGATCATGTATAGATCAGGCACGCTTTAGACGTACCTATGCTTAAAAAGAAACCTCATCAGAAAATATAACTTCACTCCAATCGCGGTCGATATTTGACCTAGCCAAGTTCAATCGTTTTTCATTGTGTTTTTCACTAAGTAACGGTTTCTCACATGTACTTTGCCAAACAAACTTCCGCCAAACGGCGTCCGATAGTCATTAGACCGATCCTTATTCTCTTTTTGATCAGCTTTAAGCGTGATTCAAAGTTAACAAAGAATTTTGTTCGAACATCCGAGTAATGATTCTATTCTCTTGCGATATCGAGGCTTGTGCTTCATCATGTCCCGGCAGGTCGTCAACAGTTCCATCGTCTTTATGTCGTGTCACCCACTTTTTTACGAACTGTCTCGATCTTTTCATGTATTTGACAGCAGCTGTGAGGGACATTTTGGGATCTTTGAGGTGAGAACGTAAGAATACTGCTTCGTAACGCTTCATGTACGTTGTACTTATCTTGAAAATAACCTATACAAAGTCGAATCTCGAACGTAACTGCGACGTGTGTTATATTGCGTAATAAAGGACTTTCTCCTGTATCACATTCTCGAAGCTCCTCTCCTCTGTACAGTACAGAGCTATAAATATCGACGCCATGCTCTTGTAGGATCGATTGCATGAATGTGCAAAGGAGAACTCCGGCGCGACTTCGGGAGCAACATCTGATGAATACACTAGATATTAAATCCCGAAAGTTCGCCAAACTTCGTCGGGAAAATTGCCCCGACAGTCGAATGAGCGGACTCTCGTGACAATGACTTGACACTTTTTCAAAAAGAAAAGACGTGCAAACTGGCGGTCTTATGATCAATTCCTGGCAGCTTGGCTCCGTTGGATCGAGCTCCGATAACTCGGCTTGTTCGTCCTCTCTCTCTCTCTCTCTCTCTCTCTTTCTCACTCTCGTTTGCTCATTTCCGGCTTACGCTCAGTACCACCAAAAAGTACCAGCCGGAGTTCCCGATCCGCAAGTATTGCCAAGTGCCCCCCTCTTTCTTCCGAGAAAACCGATGCTAATTTTCGAAAGCTTCTATCGCTTTCGCCGGCAACCAATCGTCTTCATTAACTTTGCCGCTCAGCTCTCGCCTTTAATATCGTCGATGATCCTCCCGATGGATATTGCTCGGATATTCCGGTACTACATAACTTTCGGCCTCGTCTTCCGCCGCTTCGACATTTGCAAGACGCAAATGTCCTTCGGCATCAGAGTCTTTCCTGGCGAACTTAAATTAACGGCAAACGGTAATGGAGGGTCACCTAGTTATCTTGGATTAATCTCGACGGCGGCGCTTTTCTGCCGTTTCTCAGTTGTCCTAGCTGCTCCTCGACCTTGTCCTCTTGGTCTTTACACTGTCGGATGGAACTCGGCAATACAAATGTAGGGACGTGAGGATAAAATAAAATTCCCAATGTCTGAAAACTTTTGAAGTTTATACAGTATCGGAAGACAAATCTAAATTGTTCAATCTGCACCAACGCTTCCGAACTAAATAAATCTCGTTGGAAAGAAATGACACTAAGTTGTCGATTCGGTAATAGATTTTCAGATTATCAGCATACAGTAAAAATTTATTCCGTATTTTCTTTTAAGGGGCACGGCAGACTTTTTCGGGTTGAATCATTACACCTCCAACCTAGTGGAAATAGTACCACGAGTGGCGGGCGAAGAGTGGTACGACTATAGCGGCGTGAAAACAAGCGTAGATCCATCATGGCCATCAGCCGGCTCGAAATGGTTGAAAGTTAGTATGACCATGGAAGATGCATATTAATTGCGTGTATTACAAACTAACGGATATCAATTTTCATTGTGCACGAAACTTCTGTTTATATAAGGCTCGCGTGGGATTCATTAATTTTACTCCAATAGTATATCGGGCGCAATTAAGTCGTACAGATGGCTTAACTTATTGTTTATGAATAATTCATAGATTGCGTTCAACGTTATAAATTGGGAATCAAAAGAATAGAGAGTATTTCAGAAAATATGTTTCTCCGCGTTGCGTCTACATTGTACGTATAAATATACCGACGAAATTACGATTGATTACGGAAAGACGATTAATTAATTATACCGCTAAATACGAATTACGAACTGACAAATATTTCATCATTCTGAATTAGAAATATACCAATATCGAGTTTCTCAAGTACAATAAAATTGTACGATCTAAAACAGTCTTTTCGATTGAGCGAATTATCAATACATACACTGAGAAAAAGATTTCTTCAAATTTAGTAAATTTTATTACATTCAAACAAATTTCATTGGCATGCTCCGAAGAAACTAAGGCTTCGATTAATAAATACGAATGTTAGACTTTTCAACGAATATATATGCAAAATTTGTTTAAAAAAAAGATAATTTTCTTACAAATAAATTATTTGATTCATTTTACATATTCATTTTACATATTCATTGTATTTTATTTGGTTAAAAGATATTATTTCAAATAATAGCGTTCTTTTTGTTAAATAATAGAATTTTGTTGAATAAGACAATAAAATTTTTGTTCAAACAAATAATATTTCGTATATGTCGTTTCTACGAAACATATTTTAGCCAAATAAATAGAAATACTAAATCTAAAGAAACCTTTTTCTCTGTGCAATACGTTTGTATCTGTGTGCAATGTGTCACGACTATTTCAGGTCGTCCCTAGCGGATTTCGGCAAGTTCTTAACCAGATCACGACAGAATACGATCATCCGCCCATTTACATTATGGAGAATGGCGTGTCTGACAATGATGGTAATATTAATGATTATAAAAGGATATCGTATTTACATTCCTACATGGATGAAATGCTATCTGCCATTTACAAGGATGGATGTAACATAAAAGGATATTCTGTCTGGAGTTTATTGGATAGTTTCGAATGGTCTAGGGGTTACTCGTGAGTAATAAGTATTTATTATATCCATTGAACCTCTCTTAAAGCTCATGGATACTCACTTTGGCTGTCTTTCTTTAATGACGTTAGAAACAAAAAAATCATGCTAATTTATGTGACAGTATATGTGGAAATAAAAGAATATACGCACAAAATTACATTCATGATGGATTTAGCACATTTGTAAAAATGTCCAGATACTTTCCTTTAACCTGAACAATTAGTAAATATACGTAAATTAGTATGATATACAATTTACGTTTTTAACCTATCTTTTCTTATTTTAGTTACGTTAATTTTACGGCTATTTATTAATTGTTCAGGTTAAAGGAAAGTATCTGGACATTTTTACAAATGTGCTAAATCCATCATGAATGTTATTTTGTGCGTATATTCTTTTATTTCCACATATACTGTCACATAAATTAGCATGATTTTCTTAACTACTGATGTCATCAAAGTAGAACAGTCCAAGTAAATATCCAGGAGCCTTAAAGTAAGTGGCGCTATTTTTTAACATTAACACGTTGACTGCCAACTACGAGATATCTCGTAGGTTGTTTACTTGCCCAGGACACCAACTACGAGTTATCTCGTCGCTTCATTACTTGATTAAATCAAATTGGCTTCTTAGACCAGAATCGTGAAAAGTTCCGTGGCAGTCAACGTGTTAAACACTAATGATTTGCGCAATTAAGATTTTAAGTAGAATGATTTATTAGAATAATTTCTATATATATATATATATATTATTATTCTCTGACAGAGAAAAGTTCGGAATGGTACAAGTCAACTTTATGGATCCCAACCGAACGAGAACTCCAAAATCGTCGTCGACGTGGTACAAAAATGTCATTAAGACTCGGGAAATTCTGCGTATCCAGAATTCAATCATTTCTAACTTATCTGTGGTATACATATGAGTAAAACACGTATAAACAACCAGAATGATATAATAACGTAATATTACATAATGTGTGAGAAATTTAATTTTATATTCCTAACATACACGCACAGCCCGCGCTGCCCCAAAATATTTCTTAACTAATTATTTATGCACTACGGCCTTAACTTATGTTATCCCAACTGAAGCCAATAAAATTAAAAATAGCATGAAGAAGATATATTTTGATAATAGAAAACTCATTATTCCATATATGAAAGAATTTAAATTTGACATTTCTTTCTTCCTCCACCCATTCTCTTGTGCACATGGGAAAGCTGTATTGCATATTAACACTAGAAAAGATATATGTACAACCATAAATGCAGATGGAGGATAGGTATGTTGTAAATAATATTATAATTGTAAATAATATTATTTCTGATAGTATACATATTATTATAAATATCCTTATGTATTAATATTTGCAGTCGCTTGGATCACAAGGAGCATCGCGGAGCAACCGCAGCAATCGCGATTCAAGAAATAAACGAGGCGTAAGTTTTCAGAAAGGAGTAATCGTATGCTATTACTCCCGGGAAATATCTTTCGCCACGTTCAAAGCGAAAATCTTGGCAAAGTAACGAGTACGCTCCCAGCGAAACGAAGTAACTCATTATAGTATACGGGCTGCTATTTTTATTCGCGCGAGCCTTCAATCCGGTGAATTTTTTCAGACAAGCGCATTCCGAACGACCTGTAATAAATGGAAAATTTTGAAGAGAAAGAGCAATTAAAATAAATTTACCGGGCCTGGAAGTGAATATCAAATTCATGGAGATGAAGGCTTTTTCGTTTTCTCTTTGAATTACAATACAGTATAAATAACGACGATTATAAAATAACAGTTATTTCTCCCGGCGTCGTTTAGAATGGCATAGCTTTTTATTTTAATCGAGTAATATAAAGGTGCGAATGAGCTAGTTTTTATTCGCAATAGCCATGAGAAATATACTGAAAATAATGTGTAATGGAATGCACATCAATATATATTGATTGCAATAAATAATTTGATCGAAAAGCAATTTATTTCATCAGCGTTAAGTTTTTTCCCATTCGCAATTTCATACCACACAACCAGATGATCGATATATTTCCTTGAGCTTCAGACCAGTGAAATTTCCAATGAATTTTTATGTTAAAACTGTTACTCAGGAAATGTAATTTTATTGTATACACTTAATAGCACTTCGAAAATACATATCACTATAAGGTTTTATCGCCACTTCAAATGTTCTTTCGTACACCACCTTTCGCTTGGAAATGTGCTCGACGGTGAAAATTCTATAAAGAAAATCATTAAGGCCTCTGGCTTTCTTCAGTAGCTACTATCGCCGGGGAAACGAACTTTAGCGCCGATAAAATCTCCGATTGATTTTGCGATTTTCGCCAATCGTGCACGGCACATCAAAGAAAATTGAAGCTTGAGAAATTGTATTCGTTTAGTGGGGTTAGGTAGGGTCTAACGCGTTTGCAAGATTGCCTCTCGTATCTTATAATAGACGTTAGACGAAGGGGGGACGGGCGGTAGCAACAGTAACAGCTGAGGAAGAATGGCGAGCAACGGCAACGGGGGGATACGCACAATAACTCAAGAAAAAATAACGGTCCATCTTCGTTCAATTCGTTGTCTTTTATTCTCCCGGTTTATTCCCGGTACCCTTGTAGCCCGGGTAGATCGAATTGCCAGTAGGTGAGATAAGGCGTTGAACAAAAGGGTGGAAAGCCCAGACGAGCGAAGGGAGTGATGTCGCGAATACTCCGGCACCTATCTCGTTTGTACAGCTTTCTATGCGCACCGACCGACCGGCTAGTAAAAAAGGAAGGTGAAGTCGGGAATAACAGATCGCGCTTCGGCGAGCAGAATCTCGTGTAATTACGCGGGAGCGTCGTTGTATTACGTGTGCCTGTATGTATCGCTTTCGTCGATGCCGCCCGCAATGGATGTACTCGAAATCCCCTGTTAACGATACGGATGATCACGATACATGCGTGAAAATCAATGCTGGGAAAGATGACTTTTCTCATATTTAAATAAGATTACCCGGGAAAAAATGATTATACATGATTATATATAATTATATAAAATCATACATGAATTTTTTCCATATATGTGGTTATATGTACGATCATATATATTCATACGAAAAAAATGATGTTATGTCATTTAATTAAATGTTGATATGTGCTGTCAGAAGCACAAGTAGCCAGAAATATTTACTTCGATTGTATTTGCATATAATTTGTGAACAACAGTATTTTTTCGTTGTAGACACGTATGATTATACACAGTCATATATGAGCAAATTTCATGTATGATCATTTTCTTCCCTGGTAGATACAATTACGATTGCTTATTTAGATAAACGGTTAGATGAAAAAATAAACTTACATTTCCTTTAAATGTAAAAAAAAAGATTTTTATCTAATTATTAATTTTCTATATCTTAGATATAGAGTTGGGAAGTAACGCGTTACTTGGAACGTCGTTACCATTACAATTTTTTTTTTCAATTACGATTTGGTAACGACGTTACATTTTTTTCATTAGTAACGATAACGATAACGCAGTTATATTTTTTGCGTTACAATAATGAGTATAATCGTTAATTTTATCGTTACTTTTCATATGTATAATATATGTATATAAAATGAGCAAAAGTGAATTCTAAGAAAAAGGTCTTCAAAACTCAAAAGTAACGACTCGTTGTTTCTCGAATAACAATAACTGTAACAAATTACTTTTTTCAGTAGATAACGAGTAACGGTAATGAGTTACTTTTCAAAAGTAACTTCCCCTACCCTACTTAGATATAGAATAAGCTTTAGATATGTCAAGATAACCCATTTCGATCCAGGCTGTAAAAATATTGAGATCCATGAGATCCAAGTATTATTTTAGAGTAATTGAGACCCAAGAAATTCAAAAAATCTAACATCAGAATTTTCTAGCGGTTTTCCCCGGAAAATAGTCGAAACATTTACTTTGAGTGATATCTGATGTACATTTAGTGAATTTTATCATATCACAAGGGGAATTATTATTTTCGACTTGAACTTTTGACAATATCTCATCATGGTTCTTCCAATTTTTTATTTGTTACTATTTTTAAATAATTAATTAAAAAAATGAGGCAATGAATTAAAAATGTTTCTTTTGCAAGATTATTTTTCATCTTCACTTATCACTAGAGAAGGGGGGAGGCGGTAATGAGTAGTGGCCAGGTGAAATTATTCTCTGAAAGGCAAAAATCTAAACTATATTTCACCAAACACACTTCCTTCTTTAAGTAATTACTCATCATGATCCATAATACGTCGGATATATATGACTCCGAATGTATTCCATACTTTATGACGTATAAGTTTCTAATTCTTCATAATAGATATTTTATTAAATAATAGATACCTAATTTTGCCTGAAATATAGATTCCAGCCATAAATGCTCGATTATTTCCTTAGATTAGAGAAACTATATTGTTGTATAATCACTCAGATATAGATTACAGATGATTGATTTTATATATCTATACATATGTAGATATAATTATTTGGACACGTCCCAACATTGGTAAAAATCTTCTAGTCCAATTAGCGTCGAGTTCCGCTCGACGTGTGCGCGAGTGATTACGCAAACAGTTACAGGAAGTAAACATTCGTTCAACAGACAAAACCACGGTCACCGAGATGTTAATCGCACTTTCGACAACATAGGATATCATTGTTACACGCGGATTAATATCGATATCGGTGACGTGCGCCGGCCGATTAGCGTTATCGGATATTGCTGACTATTCGCTAACATTCTCGAGCATCTTTGATCGTTCGATATCGGCTTTGCGGATGTTAGTAGCGATCCGAATGATGAATATACTACATCACCCCGTGCATACAATAATTTACAAGTAATTGGTATAATTTGGATAACTCGTGGTGTATCAAATTATACCGTATAAACAAGCGCGCGCGCATATAGCCGGTAGCTCGATAATTATGTATTTGTACATATTAAACACGCGGCCGGAGCAGACTCGACAGTTTCGACGAAGTGCTAAGGGGCGTCCGAAACGAGGTTACACGAGTCGCAACAATTCGGGCTACTTGAGGATCGTTTGCATTCTAACGTAAATATTGTACGCGTACAATATATGTGCGTAGACCGAAAATCCGTGCCCCGGAATCCCTTGAGCGAGATTAGCTGTGTGTGCGCACGCCATGCAGAGGAGAGCCGGGCAAATTTGCAGCGGCGAGACGGAGGAGGGGCCACGCCGTTTTCACGGTTAATTTTATCGGTATAAAATGAGCGATCAAATGAGATCGACTCGACCGCCGGCGCTTAACGAGGGAAAAAAGCAGCGATGACGGGAAAGTTGAGAGATAAGTGTGGGATTTATTTAGAAATCTCGCCGCGGAATCTATCCGACGCACCAGTCCTCTTTCACAATGCTCGTCGACTGATCTTTTTATCTCTCGGGAGCACAAAGATAAGATGTCTTTGACGATGGCTGCTGAATAAATAAATAACCCGGGATTCCGTGGATCATCTCGCGTCCTGGACGAATACCTCGCTAGGAGGATCTGAAATTTACGTCGCCGGGCAACGTCGTGCGCGCGATTGTTAACAGAATGCCCGACAATACCGTCGCGCAAGAGAAAACAGCAAAAATGGTTCGTCGCCCTGGCACACACAAAGTACGAGAGATTTCTTCCACCCCGCTCTTACCCGGAGATAGGATGGAGGAGAGTAACAATGCCCGACTCGTGAATCGCCGATGTGTTTCCGTCGCTACACGCTACCGTGGAAACAACTGACTTCAACCGTAATGCGTTTAATCATCAAGCGGTGCTCGACGAATCGCACTTTCCTTCGTACGCCACTTACTATCCATTCTCACTCTTCCCGGTTACTCCTCTCTTCCCTCTCTTCCCTACGATGTTTCGCGTCGATAGCGCCTCGGCGAGAAACGCGGAAATATCGCGGGAACTCCGAGGAAAGTGGCGAGAATAAGGAACCCTGATTCTCTCTCTCTCTCTGTCGTTCAGAAATCTCCCGCGAGCCCCGGACAATCCGGGAGGGTTGGTGCACCACGACGGACGGCAACCGCTTTTGTGCCCTGGGGAATGTCGCCCGGAAGCACGGAGGAAGGGAACAAGCAGCCGTGAGAGGCGAATTCGTGCAACGACGTCGGCGTAATTGTGTAACTTCGTGGTTGCGACGTACGAAACAATAACCGCCGGCAAATCGCATCAAACAATACCACGGCAGATTGCATCTTCCCCGGGCGCGATGCGCACGTCTCTCCTTTTTTCGCGCTGATCTCCTTTGTCCTCGATGCTCGAGTCGACTTTGCCGTGTCCTCCCGACAAATAACTGGGCGCCTCTATCGGCGCCGCGACATCGTGATTGTCAAAGGCTACCGCCTTTGGTGAATCGCGTATAGGAGGCGGCGGATAAAACGCGTTATCGGGTACAGAAACGATTACGTCTCTCGGTGCGCGAGTTTCGAGCGCGAGGGAGGGAGAGAAAAAAACAGATAGAGGACAGGGTAGCGGGGGAAGCGCGAAAAGGCTTCTCTCGGCGAGAAGAAAATGTTCTTCCCTATCGCCTTCTGATAACCTCTGGGGGTTGTCCTCGCGATAAAAATGCGGCGTTTTCTCGCGATAATAACGCGAGGGAGGAATAAGAATAGAATGCTGGAAATCTTTACACGCAACGCACACCATTTACCAGACTCAATTTCATTGAGCTACGTGAGCATCGTGCGATGCGTCGGATGTTGCCGATATGAGAACCGGACGAATAATTGCAGACGCAATTAAATATACGGTTGTAAAAATGAGTTTTTCTAGACGGAGGACTAAATGGCACGTGCGATGCGAATATAATGCATCCGAACGCTTGAATTATCTATAAAGAACGTGCATACATACATGTACAATATGATGTATCCTGTCTGCCGAAGGTGGTGGATTATACGAATTATTATTCTGCACCGATATTTCGCGCCGAACCGCGATCATTTTATTGTCCACAATGTCACATTAACATACCGATGATGATACATGATGATAATATAAAATATTACTTAACATTACTTTGAACTATTTAACATTACTATTGACTTTGACTATCGCGTGAAAGGACATTCCATATTGTCTCATAAAATTGATATATCGGCGGCACGCCGCTCATTGTACGAGTGATATTTGTGTGTAAGTGTGGGCAGTGAAAATTTGTTGTAATAAATTACATAAAATTTCCCTCACGAAAAGTGTAGTTCAATCGAGCGCGTTTGCTTATCGGGATGTTTTAATTATTACCACAGGAAAAGCTGTTTGTGTGATATAGTAATTTATGTATCGCTGTGTACAAAGTTCTCTTTCACTCTTAACGAATAATCTTTCCGCAAGATACATATTCCATTACAGACAGATATTATAAGCTAGTATCTATTATCACTTACGTCACTTTCATCATAACCATCCTATGCATCATTGTGTAAAACTCAGACGAGCAGAAACTTTCCACTATGACGATATAATTATTAGTAGATGCGAATCGCATTTTATTCGCGAGATCACTTTATCGACGGCAACAATTTGAAATTAAAACATAATTGCGAACGCGGCAATTGCGCAGTGCCACTCGTGCGGTAGACGACGAGCAATAATTTGTTACAAATTTTTCCCAGTTTTTAATATACGTAATATGTACAGGGGAAATGGAGGAGGGCGGTTTCTCAATTCATCGTCCAGTTCTCTTAAATATTTTTGGAAAGATAATGGACAAAGTAATATCGTTATAAATGGCGGAATATTCTCAAGTATTTCTCGTATTCATATTATGTTTGATATATACACGCATAATATTTCAAGTTCACGTAATAGGAGAGATCGGGGGCAGGTTGGAACAAAATGCAGATTGGTTTCGGTTATATATATATACTTATTGTGGAAAAATCAATGCGAAAAGAGTCGCAAAATGTTCCTTTCAGAACATACCCAGTCAACAAATTCAGTTTTTGTTATATAACTTAGAAATAAAAATTATATAACGAATACGTTATAAGAGTTATATTACAATTTCGTTATTTTATTGTTTTTTTTTATACATAACTACATTACACATACTACATTATACATACTTTTGTTTTTTACTTTTTTTTATTATATTATATTATATTATATTTATATTATATTATACATACTGTTTTTGTTATTTTACTGTTTTTTTTTTATACATAACTACAATTCACATATTCAATTACTGTTATACAAGCTATCTCAAATCGTTCTCAGTTCCCGTAGTGTAGAGTGTGTGTCAAGTAGAACGGAAGAAACTGAGTAGAAAAGTCATGTACGATTTTTCCTCACTAACTATTGCAAATTTTGTAAAATCGTACATAACTTTTCCACTCATATTTACCCGTTCTATCTGCACATTATAGGAACTGAGAACGGTTTGGAACACCCTATAACTTGAAAATTAAAAGTTATATAACAAATATGTTATTATAATAATTGTAATCTATTATTTATTGCATATCAGTAGAAAAGTTAAAATTTCAAGTTCACGTAATAGGAGAGATCGGGGGCAGGTTGGAACAAAATGCAGATTGGTTTCGGTTATATATATACTTATTGTGGAAAAATCAATGCGAAAAGAGTCGCAAAATGTTCCTTTCAGAACATACCCAGTCAACAAATTCAGTTTTTGTTATATAACTTAGAAATAAAAATTATATAACGAATACGTTATAAGAGTTATATTACAATTTCGTTATTTTTTTTTTTTTTTTTTTATACATAACTACATTACACATACTACATTATACATACTTTTGTTTTTTACTTTTTTTTATTATATTATATTATATTATATTTATATTATATTATACATACTGTTTTTGTTATTTTACTGTTTTTTTTTTATACATAACTACAATATCATTATAATTATTTATATTTAATTATTGCTTTAAAATACTTGTACCAACCTGGGAAAAAAGACTATATATGATTATATATAATTATATAAAATTATATATGGATTTTGCTTATATATGTGATTATATATATAGTTATATACGAAAAAAATGATATTATGTTATTTAATTAAGTATCGGTATCACGTGTTGTCAGAAGCACAAGTAGCCAGAAGCATTTACTTCGATTGCATGTTTATATATAATTTGTAAACAACAGTTTTTTTTCGTTGTGGACATATATGAAATATGGTCATATGGGTAAATTTCACATATCATCTTTTTTTCTCGGGAAACGCACAGCCAATTAATTGATATAATTGATAGTTGTCAGTCTCGTTGAAGACTGCTTGGATGAGATTGTTTATATTAGACAAAGCCTTGGAGGTTATATTTTGATAAGCACTAAATAATTTTATTAAATTTATATTCAATGTTCTATTTTACTTTACCGTATTATTAACTTGAATGAGAAGTTTTTCGTCATATATGACATATTTTACAAATGTTTGCTGAGAAAGATTTTTTTCAACTTTAGAGAAAGATTTTAACCTTATGATAATCGAATATACTGTCTGAGTTAGCATAATAATACGCTAATATAATTAAAAAACAAAATTCATTATAATCTGACCATTAGAATTATATTATAAATAATCTTTCGTTTATTACTGCTTTAAACGTATACATTTCTGATTGTGCACAATTATATTTATTATTTATAATTCTAACCTGCCCCAGGCTGCTTTCGAATCTACCCTGGGGCAGGTTCGTACGAGTGCTCCATGTTGATATTTTGATTATTATGGACGAAACTATACAAATTACAGAATCTTTGGTAACAAAAACATTGAGGAAAATTGTCGCTATTATCATTGTTTAAACAATCGCACCAATTACTTTTGTGAAAAGTTTTAACACCGAAGTTCCGAAAAGTTACCGAACCCATCTCGCGGTTTCCCCTACATATTTTAAATAATAGACTTCGTATTTCGTCTCGGTTTTTAATGTCGGCCAATAATAACAATCGACCAATGCAAGTAAAATAACTTATTAATCATAACTCCCCAAACAGCACATGCTCCCCAATATCTCATGGACATTCTGTGGACGCCCTTAGGACATCAGGACGTCCTCAGGACATCCTCAGGACGTTCCGCGGAGATCTGTGCTGTCTGGGTCAATAATCACGTCGTGAATATATTTATTGTACGTCAACTTTATAAGAAGTAATTTTGAATGTTTTTGTGCTTGCGAACATTATAATCACTTGGCTCGGCTTAAAAGTATCGAGTAATGTACGCATACAGGAAGTTGCATCAACATATTGAGTAATGCCAGGTTGCTGCTGATGACACGCGTGAGAAAGTGAGAGCGCAAACTCGGACACGCTCTTACTCTCTCATGCGCGCCCTTGTTAGCGGCAACCCGATATACTGCTCAGTCTGACTGCAACACCCTACACAAAGACGGAATTAGATAGTAACAATTATTTCTGCGGCGAAGTATGACGCTGTACAAAACAAGCTAAATTTAACGTGATGATCTGTAACAGAGCTGTCTAACTAAATTAAGCAATTGTAAATGATCAAATCAAACACTGCACCTGTTTCTTTTATATACGAGAAGAGAAAGATGTAAAGCGAAAGACCGTCGCTTGCGAATGTTTATGAATAATTTTGGTCTATCTATATAAAGATAAAGATATAAAGATAAGTTAGATAATCTAAGCATGTAAAAAGAACGGATAAGAAAGGTGAAACGGAGAAATTTATACGAAATTCTAAAAAAACTAGACATATATTGAAGTGTAGAAAAGATATTCGTTATATGTATAAATATAATTAATTTTGCCGACATTAATTGCTTTTTTTCTTGACATCAATTGGCTTTTTCGTACAGAGCCAATTAAATATTATTTTTAACAGTTTATATATAATTAATAACGTAATCATTAACGTTATAAACATGATGATCGATAAGATTGCTATAATGTCCATGTCGTACCTTTCGTACCAAGACTCGTTAGCTATACTAGTACGAAGATGAGAAACACCTTTGTGACGAATCACAAACTCGGTCCACCAGATTGCATCTTCCAGCTCCATGTTGTTAGGCTTATCTTCATACAATGCTTTAATCTCAAGCATTCTCTCTTTGTATCTAAAAAGAACGAATAAAATAGATGTATCTTGAGGTGATGACAACGTTGCTCAGTAATTCCACTTTAATCTTATCACATAAGAATCTCAACATATGCATTATGTAGGAATAATTGTGGACGGGTCTCTATAATATGTACAGGGTGTGTGAAACTTCTGCCAATCGCTCGTATAAAAGTAGAATAAGTTAAATTGAGCAGAAAAGTCCTTTACCATTCTACAAACAAGCACGCAAAATTTCGAATCATTCATTACTGAAAATGGTCGTGTGTAGAGACTTCTTCCTTTAAATAATAACTCAGAAATTTGCAAGTTATTTGCAAAATGGCACAGGTCATTTTTATTCAAAGTGGCTTAATCTACAAGCATATGACAGTTGTATTTAGTGATAGACGTCAGTATATTGAACCTTGAACTTCGAACTTTGAACCTGTCACTACGTACACGAGCTGCCATATATTTGTAGATTAGCAGTCTGAACAAAAATATTCTGTACCATTTTGTAAATAACAGGCAAATTTTCGAGTTATTAAAGGGGTTTTTAAGGGGGTAGAAATAATTTGAAATTTCGGAAAAATCAATTTTCAGTTTTTTTACATCTTCGAATAGTACGAATTTTTAGAAACATTTTCCCGTTTATTGAATTGCAAAATTTGAAAAATTTAATTCAAGAGAACAGAAATGTGAACCGATGCGCGGACGGTCTAAATACCGGCGGCACAGAGCCGCGAGTATTCAGTCCTTATTAATTGCGTGTCACGGCGAGCATTAATTGCTCGCCGCTAAAAAGAATGGATTTCTTTTTCCCTAACCTAATATAATGTATGTTTTATTCTTTCTGAGTGTCAACTTAAATAGATGCATATATCCCGCACGAGCGTCAATTAAATGCCAAGGCAACGGATTCAAATTCCTATATATAGATCTTGTTCGATGATAATTAGAGAAGATTGAAATTACCTTTCATCTAGTAAGATATCCATTATAGAGGAGTTCAGTTCTTTTACCGTAAGATCAACAATTTCTAGACTTTTTGCGACGCCAATAGATACCATTTTTCTCACTTGAGTACATTGATCGGCTAATATTGGTATCCCTAAAAGTGGTACCGCGTTATAGACAGCTTCTTCCGTGCTTTGAGCTCCACCTTGATATAGGAACAGTCTAATTTTCGGATGAGCTGGGAAAAAGGAGAATCGAAATGAAATTATACGTCTCGTAAACATAGCTAGGTGAAAATATGTTGTTATAAATTTGTTTGATTTTTCAATTACAACGCTTATGTATTGATTTACCGAGAATGTCCTGTTGAGGGAACCAATTAGCAGCGAAGATATTATTGGATAAGTTTGACGAATCTCCGTCAAATTTCCACACTACCTTGCACGGTAAATTTGCAAATACATAGTAAAATACATGTCGCAAATGCTTCGGTAACGACTGTATTGCGACATTTGTGCCTAAACTCACATAGATAAACCCATTTGGCACGTCGTCCAGAAACGTTTTCAAATCCTGAAACAAGATAATTATTCATAAAATCTAATCTGAAAAAGGAATATCGTCGTTTGCGGATGTAATAATTACATTTGGTAAAGCTGCGGGCTTCTTCATTTGATGAAAACTTTTAAAATATATTACGTTCTGTGGTTGCGGTCTAATAAACGAGGTGATTTCCTGTAGATTGCAGAATATAATACTTATATTCTTCTCCATCTCGATTATATCAGGCACATCTTTGCCGAAGTATTCCTTTGCTAATGCTTGTTGTCGCGACATAAACTCATTATGCATGTTATATATGTAATTCCATAGCCGAATAAAGTTCGTCATCCTCTGCCACAGTGATAGATTAAAACCGGTATTGTACTCCATTTCCCAAGTCGATGGGTGCGACGGTAAAACCGGAAAACCGAAACTATAATAATGGCTAGCGAACAACGGTAACGATGTTGTACCTATAAATAAAAATATGACGCCAAGAGCTCATACGCGACTCTTAAAACAAGATATGGATTTAGAATTTGCAAGCAAAACTTCATAGGTAAGCGGATGTGTGTAAATTTAGCGGAAGCTATATTCGCTGGTATATAAAAGTTACTCATATTTTCCCAAACGATAAAATGAAAATACGAAAAATGATCGTAAGATTTACTCAAAATGTCATGTAAAATGTAATATGGAAATCTGAAAGTAATTTTTAATCATTCCTGGGCAGTGAGATGATGTCACCGGGAGTGCTAAAATCGAGTAAATGTATATGCACGTTTATGAAAAAAAAACTGATTAAAATCGAGCAGATTCATTCATTTGCTTGTATAAATTAATAATAATAAATTTTCGAAGAGCGCACTGTCAGCATTGATCATGTCACTTTATTCTTATCGTATACTTAATGAGGGTAAAGATAAAATGACGCTTTAGCGCTGATAGCGCGTTCCCCGAATGTAATTTGAGTTACTTTTGAATTTAAGGTATTCATTTAAGAGGATTTTCTGGTTTTCAAAAATAGATTTTTTTTTGTAATTCTTGAAAGTTTATCGTCTTAAAAATATTTTACTACATCATTACTGACCACTGAGCTCTGAGAATTGGTGTGAGCAGAAACCAACGCTCGAGACATTTACGCACGATCTACCTCTTGTCAAAAAAGTTTTAGAATGCATCAGACCAATTTATGAAAATTTGTCTTCGAATAATTTATTAGAGAAATGTCTCAGAGTATATACTCAAAACATTAATGAATCTTTAAATTCATTAATATGAACATTCGCCCTCAAACATATTTTCGCTGGCAAAGGAGTAGTTGATATCGTCAATTTTTTAGCAGTTAATATCTTCAATGATAGATTCATAAATGTTCTCAAAATAATGGAGGTGATGGGCGTAACAATCAGCAGCACAGTCTATGATTTTGTCGTTTCACGGAACAACGATCGTCTCAAATACTCGGAGCATCGCGCATCCTCAAGCTCCAAAGAAGCCAGAATTGCAGCTCGAGAGTACAGAACATTACAGAATGAAATTTTTCAAAAAAAAGAAGGTTCCCCTTATGACCTAGGAATAGTTCATTAAAGGTAAGTTCAAAAATTTCGACGTATTATCGAAAAATATCTCATCAAACTTTGAATATGTTTTCTCGAAACTATATTTTCAAAAATAATAGACACGATTCCAAAAATACTACTTGTCCGCTTTTCGGTCCGGGTTTCGCTTTTACACTTATACTCAACAAACATGCCGTTATAGCCTGAATTACAATATATAACCGATGTTGATTTTTTCTATTTTTTGGAAGCCAAATGAGAAAAAAAAATGAGTGGAACTATTATGTTTTTAACTATCGACATATTGAAAATATGCATGCGACATTAATAATCCTAATTTAGGCGAAAATCACAAGTCCGCTCATTAAAAAAACCGAATTCTTTACTTTAGGATTAACACTACGATTGTTATCTTATCTACCGTTTGCAGATTTAACTTATCTTATTTACGATTTGTCGTATTGGAATAAAAATAAAATTTAAAAAATTGTTTCAAATTTACATGGAATATACTTTTGAACGTTATATCTTATCTAAGTATATCTTAATTATGCATAAAAAATCCTAAAAATACGCCTGAATTCACTTCTCAAAATCAGAATATCCTTTTAATAGTTTACAGTATCCTATCTGTTTCATTTTTACGCCTGTGCATATGAGTTGCATATGAGTGAGTCTACGAAATACCTATCGACAGGCCTTGTTATTATCCAGTCGATGGACAAGTATCGACTCATCGAAAGGTCTAATTCAATACTGACGAGATATGTACGCGCGCAATATACAAGAAGTTACGATATTTACCTATAAGAGGCGCGTTAAATCTGTGCGCCAGGACGTATAAGGCAGGTGACATTAATACTTCAGCAATCACCAGGTCGAAATGTTCATCGCTGTTTGGCGCGTACATCTTCTGTACTTTCGGATGCTTTAAAATGGTATCCGTTAACTCATAAAAATTTTCCCACATGATATTCCGTGAAATGGTCAACCAAGAATCAGTAAATCTCAGCTTGGCGAAATCTATCTTCTTGAATATGTTATAGTTAGATCGAAAGTCGATTTCCGTTAAATTTGTCAAACTGGGATCGCCGATCGGATCCGTCGTTAGAACGATAACTTGGTGCCCCCGTTGGCTGAGAGCGACCCAAAGTGGTTGAAATGGTATCTGATGACTGTAGGACGGTACTGCAGTAATCGCCAAGATTCTTGCACTTTCCGTCAACGTAATGACGCTCAGAAAACACACTAGCCAAAGTGCCGGAGCCGTAATGAATCTCATATTGTCCTGATAAGAAATTAGAAAATATAAGCTGTTACAATTCGGAAGGAACCGAAATTATTAAATCAAACTCAAAAATATTATTTTTGCAATTACAGCAAAAATTATCTAGATATTTATAAACTATTATCTATAGATATTTATAGATTGTTATTTATATACTATATTTATAGATTATTCTTTATAAATTATATTATTATTAACTATAAATTATTTAATTAATTATTTGTAGATAATTATCTATAGATATGCGAAATTAGCTAAAATGGATAAACGTCTAGCAGACACTTCAATGTCACATATATTGTATCTAATTAATATAGGCGACAAAGACAAAATTTTCATCTGAACTATTACATTTGTCTAATTTAACAAGAAAATCTCTCTGTGGGGTTCATCTGGATTAAGGCTAGTTATATTTCTTATCAAAAATTGATAACAGAATCTAAATTTTTTTGCATATACGCGGGTAGATTGGAAAGTTTCCAGAATCGCTGCTAAAGAGTTGCTTTTCTTCAACTATTTTTATGTTGTATTGTCAATTCTTTCAAATGAATTGACTGCAAATGTCAAGTCGACCTGTCAAATAATCTGGTTTTGGCAAGCATTCAAGTCAAGCAACTTTGTATGTTTTCAATTATGGATAAAAACGAAATTCGAGCGGTCATCAAATTTTTCCATTTAGAAGGAAACTCTGTAATGGAGATTAAATCAAAGTTAAATGTTGTTCTTAGAGATTCATCACCTTCATTTTTTAATGTGAATTTTTGTATTTCGAAATTTAAATGCTGCCGCACGCACATGTGACAAACCACATTGAGGACGTCCAAAAACAGCTTTCACACCAGAAATTGTGGATAAAATCCACGATATGGTTTTGGCAGGTCGTCGAATAAAATTACGTGAAATTGATGAAGCAGTAGGCATCTCTTATAAACAAGTAGGTCATATTTTGTGGTGATTTGGGTTTAAGAAAGAAAACTTTGCAAGACGGGTGCCACATTTGCTCAATTCGGAGCAAAAACATATTCGAGCCCGAACTTCAGCCGTTGTTTAGAAATATTTAAGAGGAATCCAAGAGAATCCGGATTTCAAGAGACGATTCATAACCATTGATAAGACCTGGATTCATCACTACACACCATGAATAAAAATACAATCAAAACAATGGAATTGAACACGGTGAATCGGTTCCGAAGAAGACAAAGATCATTCAATCAGCTGGAAAAGTGATGGCATCGGTTTTTCGGGATGCCAGAAGAATTGTGTTAATTATCTTAAAGAAGGAAAAACTGTTATCGGTCAATACTACACAACACTTTTGAACAAACTGAAAGCAGCAATTCAAAAAAAAACGTCCGGGAAATGTCAAGAAAAAACTGTTGTTTCACCATGACAATACACGTTCAAGTGCAATCGTTCAGCAAAAATTAACAGAATTGATGTTTGAAATCCTTCCGCATCCATCATATTCGCCTGATTTGGTTCCCTCAGACTTCCACCTGTTCCCGAAACTCAAAATATTCTTGGTGGAAAGAAATTCCGATCAAATGGAGAGCTAATCGACGCTGTAAACGATTATTTTGAAGACCTCGAAGGAAGTCACTTTCGAGAAGGAATCGAGAAACTAGAGAAACGTTGAATCAAGTGTGTTGAGCTTCGAGATTATATTAAAAAATAGAATATAACTTGAATTAGATTTATTTTGTTTTCATTGTCATTCCGAAAACTTTTTAATCTACCTTTGTATTGTCAGAATACTGCTGCTATAAATTATATGTACCACTGACAATGTTGTAGCAGATATAAAAAACAGCTATATATTTTATCTATGACATTTAGAATTTTAACTGGAGCAATGAAACATTACCTTGAGTGCGGAGATGGCAAAATGCAGGTTGACAGTATAAATGTCCGAACTATCACTTAACTATTACTTATATATTCGATTACAAAGAAACTAAAGTAATATAATACAATCACAAAATTAAAGTTCTGTAATACCGCGTAGTTCCACACTCTAGCGCTTACTGCCTCATTCAGATACGCAATATTAAATTTCGTCCTCGCCGCATATTGCGCATACATCGTCATATCAACACAAGTCGTTAACTGACATGGCGAGATAATATAAAAACATTTATTTCATGTAGGGGCCATTTCTCTTCTGGTATCTTCACGCATATTCCATGCATATATATTTCTCTACATATCTTTATGTATTTTCTATATATATATGCGATAATATTCTTATTATATATTCTTTTATATATACCGCATGAAGTTAATATTCTTGCATAATTTTTATTATTGAATGTGAAGTTAAAATGTTATCAGATACATTTTACAAAAACCAAATTTTCCTAAATTGAGTTTTTGAGTGTTGAGTGTTTGAATTAATTGATGTTACATGTACACAATGTTTTGATTACAATTTTATCAGTATGCAAGTTTCGCAATTTATAACCAAATATATAAATACGTAGATAGCTATTTATATTTCTGGCCTTGGTAACAGTAAGTGTTGCCAGGCGCCATTTGACGCTGTCATTGGAAACTTGACATTGTTGAACATAAGATCATAAGAACACATTGTCATTTGAGCGCGGTTTGTGTTGTTTACAGTGAATTGAAAAATTCATGTCGGGCAAAAAATGGAATTAACTCGTGAACATTTTCGTGCGATTATTTTTCATAACTTTCGACGTGGATTATCAAGACAAGAGTGCATCGATGAACTTAATTCTTTATACAGCGAGGAAGCACCATCCTACAGCACTGTAAAAAACTGGTATAACGAATTCAATCGTGGCCGACGTTCGCTCCAGGACGAATTCCGTGAAGGTCGTCCAAAATCGGTTGTTGTGCCAGAAGATATCGATGCTGTGCGTGAACTGATAAAGCAAGATCGTCATGCGACATACCGTGAGATTGAGGCATCTTTGGGCATTAGTATGACAAGCATCAATAAGATATTGCATGAACATTTGTCCGTAAAAAAAATTTGTTTGCGTTGAATCTCGCATAATCTGACAAACGCTCAAAAGAAGACTCGTGTTGATTGGTGCAAGGAAATGTTGAAAAAATACGTTCAAGGTGTATCAAAGGCTGTGTATAACATCTACACAGGTGACGAATCATGGATCTATGCATATGAGTCCGAAACAAAACAGCAATCGACTGTATGGGTCTTCCAAGACGAATCAAATCCAACAAAAGTTGTTCGCGGAAGAAGCACATCGAAGCAAATGGTTGCCTGTTTCTTCGGTCACGTGGCGACTGTGGCGTTACAGCACCGTAGGACGATCAATTTTGAATAGTACACGACCATTTGTTTACCAGAAGTCATCGGAGAAATTCGAGAAAAGCAGAAGAGGCGAATCATTCTTCATCATGACAATGCGAGCTCTCACACATCGGGTCAAACAAAGGAATTTTTGACCGGCCAAAACATCGAATTGGTGAGTTATCCGCCGTACAGCCCTGATTTGGCACCCAATGACTTTTTTTGTTCCCGCNTCACGTGGCGACTGTGGCGTTACAGCACCGTAGGACGATCAATTTTGAATAGTACACGACCATTTGTTTACCAGAAGTCATCGGAGAAATTCGAGAAAAGCAGAAGAGGCGAATCATTCTTCATCATGACAATGCGAGCTCTCACACATCGGGTCAAACAAAGGAATTTTTGACCGGCCAAAACATCGAATTGGTGAGTTATCCGCCGTACAGCCCTGATTTGGCACCCAATGACTTTTTTTGTTCCCGCACATCAAAAATAAATTACGTGGTCAACGATTTTCGACACCCGAAGAAGCGGTTGATGCATTTAAAACGCATGTTTTGCAGTTACCTCAATTGAAGTGGAAAAAGTGCTTCAAAAATTGGTTTAAACGCATGCAAAAGTGTATTGATCATCATGGAGAATATTTTGAAAAACAATAAAACCAATTTCGATCATAAACATTTGTTTTTTTCATTATTAGACCAGAAATATAAGTAGCAACCTTCATATGATCAACTATTGGGTTGCCCGAAAAGTAATTGCCAATTTTTTCATAGAAATAAAATACAATTTTTTTTGTGCATAGAATGAACTTTAATCACTGACATATTTTCTATTTTGTTCGATGACCTTTTGCCATCTTTCTGGCAACTTCATAATTCCACGCTCGTAGAACTTCTGGTTTTTATCGGCAAAAAATTGATACAAGTGCGATTTCACAGCTTCATCATCCTTAAAAGTTTTACCATCCAAGTAGTTCTGCAAGGATCGAAATAAATAGTAATCTGACGGCGCAATGTCAGGGCTATATGGTGGATGTAACATCAATTCTCAACCAAGCTCCATTAATTTTTGGCGAGTGACCAAAGATGTGTGTGGTCTAGCGTTGTCCTGGTGGAAAATGACGCCCTTACGATTGACCAATTGTGGCCGTTTTTCTTTAATCGCTGCATTCAGTTTGTCCAGTTGCTGACAGTAGACATCCGTATTGATGGTTCGGTTCCTTGGAAGGAGCTCAAAAAATATCACACCCTTCCAATCCCACCAAATTGATGGCAAAATCTTCTTTTGGTGAATATCAGCTTTCGAGGTGGTTTGTGTTGGCTCATCACGTTTGGACCATGAACGTTTTTGCTTAATATTATCGTAAACAATCCATTTTTCATCACCAGTAATTATTCGCTTCAAAAAAGGATCGAATTCATTGCGTTTGAGATGAGAATCGCAAGCATTGATACGCTTTGTTAAATGAATTTCTTTCAATTCATGTGGTACCCAAATATCAAGCTTTTTAACAAATCCAAGACGTTTTATATGATCGTGGATTGTTGATTTTGATATTTTCAACTTCTCCCAAATCTCCAGCTCAGATATATGACGATCCAACTCGATTATGGCTTTGATTTAGTCATCATCAGCTTGCAATGGCCGACCTGAACGTTGCTCATCTTTAAGTGAAAAATCTTCAGAACGGAACTTATCAAACCAATTGCGGCACTGTCTTTCTTTTAAGGCTTCCTCGCCATATACGTCACGTAACTTTTTAGCAGCCTGCGCTGCGTTTTTTCCTTTGCGGAAATAAAAAAGTAAAATATGACGAAAATGCTCGTTATTGGACTCCATACTAAAACTGACGCCAAACTAACAATTTTTAACAAAAACACGTGTAATTTGCTTCTAAAGTCAACTAAGAGTGACAGCTTACAAACGTCAAAAGAAAAAAATCATAACATTGACAGAAGACATTCAAACATACTGATGGCTTAAAGCCATCTATTGGAGCCATCGGCAATTACTTTTCAGGCAACCCAATATGATGCCAGCGTATTAAAGTTGAAATGTGTGCTAAATATATGTATTAGAGTCGAATGCATTTAGCATGTATGCGATACGATAGATAATGAATAAAACATTAATTTATTTAAAGTAGACCTACTTAAATAATATAATTACATTTCTTTCTTGACATGTAATATACATATTTAAAATCCTTATGCTAATATTCCTACAGATAGATAAGTAAAAATATGTATCTTGTTATGCCATTGATTGTGACGATTTCTACATTTTTTATTGGAGAATTTACGTTTCGTCTTGAAAAAGCTTTATTTTTCGATGAAAAGCAAAAAGTCATCATTATTATCGGATATTTTATCGCTGTTTGAAGAATTTTCTTTCGATCGGGTATTTAAAAGATCTTCCAATTTGCAACATGATTTCTTCACATCTTCACTTAATTGATCTGATTTGAATTTCGGATGTAAACACGTTGGGATTATTAATTCCTTTTTTTAACGTTGTAATAGTAGATGATCTAGGCCGGTTCTGGCTCAATTGGATCTGTTTTACC